TAAAGAAGAGAATACAAATTTAAAATAAGAAATGTATCAAAAAAACTTTTGTAAATAATAGTAGTAGATTCCAATAAAAATTAATATTTTATGTATTAATCAACAATATTGATGATAAGATTCAAACATGTGATGCAAAAAATTATAACAAGAGGTTATGTAAATTAATAAGTCTTTGACAGGTTAGTAATAAAGTTATTAATCAAGTTGATAATGATCTATCCAGATTAGAAATATATATATTTCACTTTAATTTTGACCAAAAAATGCATAATAAAAATTTCAAATTAAATAAAAGTACTAAGAAAAGTCATATTCAATATCAAAAATATTTATTTTACTATTATAATTATTATTATTTATATAGTAGTCAAATTGCAAGCAGTATTCTTAAAATATTTTAAATCAAATAATATTAATATTATGCATCAAATAATTTAATTGTAAAGTATTAAAAGAATGTATAATATATGTAAAATAGCTTTAGATGATATTTTACAAAATTAGATCAGATCTAATGATGAGAAACGAAACCTCTTAATAACAGTTATAATTTAGATGAAACTATATTAAAATTATAATAAAGAATACGACGAAATCCTTTTGATATGACGAAAGCTGAAACTGTCAAAATTATGACGAAATTATTTTGAGGAGGTTTCGGCAGGCATCTATAATCAGATCAGATTTTATTTAAATCTGATCTAATTTGATTTTCATTTTTTAGAATCTAAATCTAATCTGAATTTAACAGATCTATTGAAAGTCAGATCAGATTTGAATTTAATAGATTAAATTTCAAATCTGGATCTAATAGATTAGTTTAAATCTGATCTAAATCTAAAAAATTTATTGAAAAGTAATTTTTTGATTTTAAAAGAGATCTGAAAATGTTTCTTTTCAATGAAAAGAAATCTGAAAAATTATTTCTTTTCAATAAAAAGAACTTTTTCAGCTTTAAAAAAATTTGAAAAGTTCCTTATTTTCAATGAAAGGAACTTTTCAGTTCTAAAAGAGATTTAATATTCATTCTTTTACAATGAAAAGAACTTTTCAGCTCTAAAAGAATTTGAATATTCATTTCTTTTCAATGAAAAGAACTTTTTAGCTCTAAAATAAATCTGAAAATTAGTTCCTTTTCAATAAAAGAAAATAAATTTTCAACTCTAAAAGAGATCTAAAAATTTATTCTTTTCAATAAAAGAAAACAAATTTTCAGCTCTAAAAAAGGTCTAAAAATTTGTTTCTTTTAATGAAAGAAACTTTTCAGTTTTAAAAAAAAATCTGTAAATTCATTTCTTTTTAATGAAAAAATCTTTTCAACTCTAAGAGAGATTTAAAAAGTTTTTTCTTTTCAATGAAAAGAACTTTTCAGTTCTAAAAAAGATCTGAAAATTTGTTTCTTTTCAATAAAAAGAATTTTTCAGCTCTAAAGAATTCATAAATTCATTCCTTTTTAATAAAAGGAACTTTTCAGCTTTAAAAGAAATCTAAATCTGAATCTGATAAATCAGATCTGATCTAAATCTGAATCTAAATCAGATCTGAATTTGATAGATCTAATCTGAATCTAATCTGTCAGATTCAGATTAAATTTAGATTAATTTGAATTTATATAGAATACTAGCTTTAAAAAATGTATATAGACCATAATTTATATGTATTATATGTTTTATACAAAATAGTGAACACTTTTATATCAAATCTGAAAAAGAAAAAATCAGTAGATTGTAATGAATAATATATAGTTAATACTTCAGAACAACTTAAAAATTATTAGCAAATGTTAATTATAATAGGAAAATTTGACGAAAATAGAAACTTAAAGTTTGATTTTATTTAAAACTCTTGACGGTTCAGATTAATCCAAAGATTTTTCAGATCAGTTCAGTTCAGATCAGTTTTGGATTGTATAAAAATCGATCTGAAAATTTTCAGTTCAGTTCAGATTTTTTTTGAATTATAATTCTAATCTGAACTGAAAAAATCTGAACTGAACTGATAATTTTAGATTAATCCGAAAGTTCAGTTTGATTATATGTGAAACTCTTGAAGAATCACAAAATTTGCAAATTCTCTAAGAGGACGCAAAAATTTAGCAAAACTCTTAAAGAATTGCAATTTTTTACAGTTTCTCTTAGAATTTCACAAAAATATTGCAAAACTCTTAGAGAGTCGCAAAAAATTGTGATTTCTCTTCGAATGTTGCAAAATAATCATAAAATCCTTAGAGAATCGCAATTTTTGCAATTTCTCAGTATTTCGCAAAAAAATATTGTAAAATTCTTGAAGAGTCGCAAAAAATTGCGATTTCTCAAAAATCTTGAAGAATCACAAATTTTTGCGATTACTCATCAAATTTTGCAAATTTTCGTAAACCTCAAAAAGAAATTCACAATTTTTTGCAATTCTCCTAGAGTTTCGCATATAAATTACAGATTTCTTATATAATCAAACTGTAATTTCAAATTAATCTGAAAATTTCAGTTCAGTTCAGATTTTTACCGGTCTGTGATTCAATTCAGATTCAGATTAGCATTTTTAAGATTAATAATCTGAACTGAATCAAACTGAAATTTTCAATTCAGATATGGATTGATATCTAATCTGGACTGAACTGAACTGTTCAGAGCTTTAGATTTTATCTATAATTACACTTTTAATATTTTAAATATTAAAGATATAACATCTTCTTCTACATTTACTTTAAAATCAACTATAGAAATATCAGATTTATTTATTTCTAGTTTGTTTCACCTTCAGATTGCTTTTTAACTAAAAAATTAATAGCAAGTCTATTTTATTAGAGGAATTAGATAAATAATATTACAAAAATTTAGGAGAAATATTTGCTAACAAGTTTTAAAAATCCCAAAAAGAATTTGACGTGTCTCATAAATTATTATAGAATTTATCAATCTTTAATGATTATTTAAATACTTTTCTAATATAATTAAAAGGTTTTTTATAGTCTGTTAAATTTTATATATAAAAAAAATAATAATAGCAAATAAAAAATAATATCAAAGAAATAAATAAATTAAATCTAGTGATTTAACATAAATTACTAAATTATTTCTTTATTTCTTTCAATTTTAATTTCTATAGCATTTCTTTTAACTCAAGTTTGATTTTCTCAAATAGTAGCTAGTTTAATCAGAAAATTAAATTAGCAACAGATCTAATAGAACTTCTTGTAATTTTAAAATTATATCTCATAATAATAATCATAAATATATATTAAAAAAGAAAAGAATGAATTAAGTTAATTCTACAAAAAGACTCAAACAAGATTCAAATATTTAGAACTTTATCATTATAGATAATATAAATTTTAAATAGAAAACTTTACTTATAGTAATATCTTTAATGTAATTTAAGAAATATCATATATAACACTTCAGATGGCTTTTTAAATTAAATTATCTAATCTAATGAATTAAATAAAAAATAATAAAAATAAATTAATAACAGATCAAGTTTTTGAAATGAATGATAAAGTATATTAAATTTTGGATCATTTGATAAAATATTTGATGAATGTTTAGTTTTTTATTATTTAAATAGTAAACTTCAATATATGATAGATTTTGATGCATCTATAATATATAATAAAATTTAAAAAATTAGCTCATAGATATTTTGGTTACTTTTTGTATGTGGTAATTTTAGAAGCCAGTGAAATTTTAAATAATAATAAAGAGATTTATTAATCAGCAAAAATGTATAAAAGTGATTTTTTTTGAATTCTGATGATTATTTAGATATTGTTACTAATGAATTTATTTATTAATATTTAATAAATTTGTGATAAGAATGGTCAAATTTATGTCTAATACTACTTAGACAGTAGTATACAAATAAAAATATAGTATTAATTTTTATTACAATATTTTTAAGTTATGGAATCTTTGATTTGTGTATTGTAATAGGCATCAAATTCTTAGATAAATTTAAAGTGTAATAGATTATTAATCTACAGTGAAAACTATAGAACTTATATAAGTTGCAGTAGATATTACATTACAAATTTACTTAAATCAAAAAATTTGCATAAGAATAATATATTGGATGAAAATATCAAATACTTAAAGTTTGATATTTATTTTATTATTATGCTAAACTTTTTCTTGTATATAGAACTGAAACTCAAATTGAAAATTTTAATATTTAGAAATATAGTTTATTAGCATTTGCTTCTCTTATTTTATCAGCTGAAAAATAAAATTATGCGTAATCAATAGCATATTTTATTAGAATTTTTGAAAGATATCTAAAATTAAAAGAAAAACTATGATTAGTATCATCTTTTAAGATTTTAGAAAAAAATGGGATTATTTTCTTATATTTGATGAGATATTAAAGACTTTTGATGTAAAATTTATCAAATAAAATATAATCAGAAATGTTATAGATTTTGAAAAACTTAAGCTTTAAATGAAAACTACACAAATGGAATATAAACGACTTAAAGTATTACTTAATGAAAATTTAAATAATATTACAGTATCAAATTACAATCAATCTATAGATGCATAAAAAGATTCTATATAGAATCTTGTAAATAAGTTGTTAGAAGCTTTGACATATGTATAATAATTTTTTTCTATATAATTTATATTTAATCATTATTTTTTTTAAATAATATTTATTCTAATTATTAAGGTATATTATTATAATAAATTCAATCAAGTTAATGATCTTTTTCATATAATTTATCCTAAAGAGATGCATGCAGAAGGAATTAAATGATTAAAAAAATAATATGAATAAGGATTACATCATATAAAATTAATATATAATCAAAAAATATTAAAAACAGAAATAATTACTACTATTAGATGGAAGGCAAAAGAAGTAGTGATAATAAAATATAAAGATATTCAGATAGGAAAAAGTAATAAAAGAAAAAGGGTAATTGAAAATACTAATAGTATTAAAATATTAAACCTAAAACAAGAATCTCTATCAACTAATAAAAGTAAAGCACCTCTTAAAAAATGAATATGTCAAATGTTTCCAAAAGAAGCAATTCAAATTTTTTACCTATAGTCAAGTTTCCTAATCTACTTATAGAAGAAGAAATACAAAATTATTTAAATGCTTTAGCAGTAAATGTATTATGTTTTGATATTTAGAATAAATATTTAATTATTTAATATTATAGAAATTAGTATAAAAAAGATACTATTAATAGGAAAGAAGAGGAATAGGATAATAGACAATTAAATTAGCAATCAATAAATCTTTTGTTTTAAATAATGATATTTTTATTTTATTTTTTTTTTTTTACTAATAATTAACTAGATGTAAAATAAAACTCTACTCATATCTCTGTTTGTAATAAATAAATATTTTTGTTTTTAATTTATTTTTTTGTAATAAAGTTTTGTATTACACTAAATACTTGTAAAATTTAATAATTAGTAAAAAAGGAGAATCCTTTTTATATATACAAATTTAACACTTATTTTATAAGCTTATAATTTGTTTATGAATAACTTAAAATGCAAAAAAAATACTGCTAATATTGTAATTTAAAGCTTAAAGAACAGAATTATTAAGTATTATGTTTATTTGTAAATTATATATAAATGGTTAAAAAAAGAAGTTATGCAAAATAAGATTACACAACATTTATAATTAAGGATTAACAGCTAATAAAATATCTCAACTGATTGCTATTATATAATTATTATATTAAAAAATAAATAAATAAAATTTATTATAATATAGATCCTTTATAATTAAGGTTGTTAAATGAAATTTAAAGGTTTACAGATTATCTAAAAGGTAAAAGGTAAAATTTAACAAAATTATATTAAAATTCTATTAAAAAATCTACAAAACTCAAAAAAAGTAAAATTATATTAAAACTTATAAAAATGGTAAAATTATATTAAAAATTTAGACATTTTACAAATATAAAATAAGTTTAAATAAGCAACCTTATTTATAATAAAATAATCTTATAATAAAATTAGTTATTTTAAATATAAATAATTAACTAATAATAAAAATTTTAAAATTTAAATAATAGGTCAAAAAAATTTGAATTAAAGTCTATTAATTTATAATTAAATTTAAATTTTATATAATAAAATTATATAAACTTTCACTATAATAGCTAAAAATTAAATAAAAATTAATATATATAAATTTTAATTAAAAATAAATATCAAAAATTTAAGATATGAATATATTGTTTGAAAGTTTAATATTATTATAAAAGGTAAAACTAAAAAAAAAATTGTATTATGAATATTTATAAAATTTTAGTAAAAAGTAAAACTTAAAATTTATAAAGGTTTAGATTTTGTTAAATTTAAATAAGTACAGATAAATAATTTTAATTATTTTAAATAAATTTTACTAAAGTTTTCTTATATTTTTTTGATACAATATTAATGTTTCAAGTTCTGAGGTAATAGAACGTATTGAGTTACAATTCAAGTCAGCCCTATTTATAATATCATAGAACTTACGACAAATATAGGAATGTATATATAATATCAGCTCAAAACTGATAATAATATAAATATATTTTATATAACTTTAACACATGCATTAAGTTTAGTAAAAATAAATTGCAGAATAAAAAGAATAAAAATATGATAAAATAAACAAAATAAGTAAATTTATATCAATAAATAATATAAAAATATAATTATCACGAACCATGAAAATATCAGTAAAAAAAAGTCACGGAAATTGATTAGGAACCGTGGTATAAATTAGATTTGATATATCTGACATTTTGGACATCTTTGACACACGCGCATTATTGATCATGGACAACGCCATGCCCCTGTGCGGAAACCCGGCCCGGGCGGGTTTAAAGTACCCAATAATTCTGAATGAAATATGCAATGTCACTATTATTGATATTTTTTTTTTTTTTTGTAAAAAAAGGATATCAAATGTCATATTAACAGTTGAAAAAATTTGTTTTAAATTTAAAAAAGGAAATTAAAATATCAGAAAAAAAAAAAAGCAGAAAACGTTGAATTTAATGAAATGAAATTATTTTGACACACAAGGACAATCAAAGCCCGATAGTATTTTAGATTTACATATTGCATTTCAATAATTTTTTTTTTTTAGTTTTTATTTGCTAAAAAAATTATTTATATTACTATTTTTGGTATTTGTAAAATAAAAATTATTAATTCTCGTTAACATAAATTAATTATACTGGTCCGGGTTCGAGTTGTCATATTATTAAGTCCGGGCCGTGCCGTGCCTCTATTCCTCTTTTTCCGTAGGAGCATTTAAGATTTATGATGTAAATGTACACTTAATGACTCATAAAGGTTTTAAATTAGGAAAGACGAGATGGTATAAATAATTCAAGAAAGACGATAAAATCATTTTTAATGAGTTTTTGGTATATTTTATACTTGAATAATAATTTGTTATGTTGGATTATTTTTTTGTTGAAAGGAATCTTTAAGACATCTTTCGAATCTTTCCCAATATAACTAAAAAAAGAGAAAAGAAATCAGATACTTCCAGCTTTAAAAAAAAAAAAAAAAAACTATTCGAAACGAATATCGCTAACATCGAATTATCGATATCGAAAATCACATTAAACATCGAAAAATTATAAATATATTTAGGCCTTAATGGAATCCCTCCCTTACCGATTCTTTACTTTTAAGCATCTACAATATTTAATACAACAAATACAAGCGATGATTCGATTCGCGTCCAATTAAATTACAACTACAATCACGTGACAAGGTTACCTTGTCAACCATATTACTGTGCACGATGCGCTTAGAAAACTACTTTGAATATTCGAAAATTTTATTAATTCACAAAGAGGATACTCTATTTTTTTTTTACGGGTGAACTCAAGGAGCCCGTTAAATTAACAGAATTTTGCAATACAAACAAAATCGAAAACTTGTGCAATTTGTTCGATTTATTTAGCAAGTTCCTTATTCTAGATTTCTTACATAATCTCTACATAATCTCTTGTTATTATAAGACTATCACCTCAAGTTCTCAACTCGATCTTATTACTATTAAGACTGGCAATTCATTATCATTCTATCATGATTCTGTTGATTATTCGGTTGATGGAGAATTCTTGGATGAGATAGAAGTGATGGAATATTATTCTATTGACTAAACATTTGAAAAAAACATTTAAAACAACTTTGAATATTTGGATTTATCATTAAACTTAAACTTGCCACTCTCAAACGGCCTTCATAGAACAAACTGCCCTATTTTTTTTTTTTTTGTGAATTTGGGGAGATTAACAGATATGACACAATAAACCTTTTCGGAATATTAACGAGTTGAACGCTTCAGCCAACTATAGTATAGCGATCTTCTTGATATATTCCAAATTGAGTAAACAAATTTGACGCGAATTTTCGTTATTCATCAAACATGAGATGCCCCAATTTCTAATTCAAAGATAATTTTTATATTTCGATGGACTAAGACTACGATAAGGTCATGAAATAAAGACGACATCGCAATCAAAAATAATCCATCAGTCACTACGTATCATCAATTCTCGTTTAATTGGAGGAGAGAAATCGTTGTTAATGATGAGAATGATATGGTTTGAACAAGACAACGATTGTTACAAACAATAAATTAAATTTCAACCCGATTCCTTCAGAGATAATGCTTGGTTCGCCAATGACCCGGAAGGCGATTTAATATTCGATACATTTGTTGTTATCGTTATATAAGATAAAAAAGGGCCTTCTCCAGAGATAAAATGTAAAATATCTGATGAGAATAACGCAAAAAACCCTGAGGATAAAATGCAAATTCGAATTGAAATCATGTTGGTAACCTGAAAAGATCAAGCATTATTTGATGTAATCGCATCGCTTGTCAACGGCATCAACTTCGTGTACGTCAGTAAAAGTGGATGCTCATCAGAAGTGGGATACTAAAGATGACTTTATTTTTTTTGGATTCAAGTGAAGATAATGTTATGTTAATATATATGCTATGCTACCTAATTCCTTTATCATCCCATACGTTTGAAGCGTTATGGAATTCGCTATGCTATAATTTTTATTCTTTGTTCATTTTACGTAAACAGTAAATTGAGTTTTCATACCTCTCTCTCGTAATCACCCTGCAGGTAGATACTGCGGCAAAGGAATGCCCGCAGGCATCTTGTACTCTGGTGAAAAAAAATAGGTACTACATCGATGACATTACCTTAAGAAGGAGCCAACAAGTATGATTCAAAATTTTCAACATTGAGGAAAATAATAAATATTTTTGAGGCTGCAACATTAATGCATAAATGATCAATCCATATTAATAAATGAGATATAAAAATGGAAGTATCTTCCTTACTTGATTAAGCTGAATGATTGAGGTTATGTACCTTCCCCATCAAATGACCCCGATCAGTTACGCATTTACCGGTTATACCTTATTTAAGAGTCCAAACCTTTACCGTTTATTTCGAAGTGATTCAGAGAATCAAAAATGGACTAGCTTAGCCTAAGGGTCATTCTAAAACCAAATATTACAAAGTGTTCGATTCATCGATTATAGACCATTCTTCATAACCGAACGAAACTCGTGGGAGCTCGTGTTAATGACCAAATAATAAATGGTTCAAATGTTTCAGGAAAAAAAAATACACGGGGCAATTCTTAATTGTTTAAGCTGGGATCTCTTTAAACACGTATTATATATGTATATGTATATGTATATGTATTTTTTTTTATTTGTTATACGATGGTGTTGTATTCACAATTAAATGGTAAATGAACAAAAAGGGAACTTTCAGAATACAAATTTCGTCAAGTTGCATAAAGCAATGGACCGATCATTAATTAAAAAGGAAGTATTAATAGAATTTTATCGTTATTAATTTATTATTATTTTTTTTTTTTATTTTTTTCCTCGTGTCTTTGTCGCGACTGTCATCCTTGCATGAGAAAGCAACGAATGTAATACGGCGTTCCTTCATTTAATCAGGTATTATTATTATTAGAAAAATGCGGTCTAAAACCATCAAAAAAAAAAAATAAAATGACTCACCAGAGTTTATTTATATAAAGCTTAGTGTAAAAAAACCATGTTTATATTGAACAAATAACGCGTTGATCGGCGCTGTGTAATTTTGCGTCATAATTTGTTGCGCATGTACAATGTAGTGATTAGTAATTTTTCGCGATAATGAACGATCTTCAGCAATTACTAAAAGATAAGACGATTTGAAGTTCAGAGATAACCTCGCAAAAGAGAAAAATGTATTACATCATAATTTCATAAGCAATCTACAAGCAATCCATAAGCAACAAACTCTCCATTTTGACCGCTTGAAAAGTCGAAACTCATCATTACCAAATCTTGTTTCATTCAATGATGGAAATAACATTTGCCGTGTGAATGTATCAGATTGACACACCATAATGATCAGAGAACCTATTACAATGCGTCAAAGATATTTGAGGTAAATTTTGATAAATTTTTTTAAATTTTTTAAATTTTCAAAGGCTTGGCCCACATGTGGATCATCACGTGATAGAGCATATCACGCCATATAGTTGTAATTTCATATTACCAACCAAATTGTAAAATGAAGACATTCACTTATTTAGTTAGATCCTTGAAATTACGTATTGTTTACATTATAAAAGGAAAAAAAAAATTTTTTTTTTTGTTTTGTCATCCAAAGGAGAACGTTTATTAAAAATGAGCTAACATCGATATGGTGATATTTCGCATAAACAAAATTTAAATTGCCCCATCAAACCACTTTTTTTTTTGCGTCATGCAGAAGATTGGATTCAATCCTTACTAAAATGGAAAACCGAATTATAATTTTTTTTATTGAAGATGTGGTTCGAGATAGATCTAGAAATAAATAAATGATTTTTGGATCTACAAAGCGTTCGTCACCATGCTATTAATGGTTTAAAAAGATCTTGTTTCTGGGTGCACAATGATGAATTGGAAAACCCTTTCAATTTATTTTTTTTTTCATCTAAAAAAAAAAAAAACAACACCACCTAATCATATCACCTGTTAAAATATTTATGGTAAATAAAAAAAAAAAACTTCCCATTTTCTTTTTTTACGCCTTTTTAGAATTTTAGACGAAAAATACATACATATATATATATACACGAAAATATTGAAATCCTTATTGAAACCATTAAAAATATTGACTATTGATTGATTATAGGGAATATAACAGGCCTGGACATCTTCTATGGGACCTTTTTTTCCTCCATTAAATTTCGATCCCTGCAATTAATCCTGTTACCGTACAATGCGGACGGATCATCATTACCTTCCTTGGTTTAGGCAAATTGTCGAGAATTCTTTTGGTGGGAACGGAATTCTTGATCGGCACCGAGATGACCGGCAAAATATAAATTTATTTACGTCAGTGGAGTTTTCCGGTGACATAATATTTCCCAAACAATAATAATAGTACAATAAATGCATTGAAAAACCAATTTTTTCATGTGTGTTACCATGTCACACAACTTTAATGTGAATTAGAGGAAGAGGTCCAGAATCCTCCAACTTGTTGTTCTAATGTAACATATATTTTGTGTTTGATGAAATTTTAATTTTGTAACGAGATTAAGGGTTTCACTGCGACCGCATGCGAGGCGATGAAAATTATCAAACAAAGACATGAACAACCCTTTCTTTATCTAATGTGGTAAATCTCTTTTCTTTCTTTCCTTTTTTTTTTTTTTTTAAAAATAAAAAAAAAAAAATCAAAAAAATTCAAAAAATCAAGAATCAGGGATTTTCCAGATAAGGTTTCTTTTGAAGGCATTGTCCCCCCAGATGGTACTTGCGTTCAAAAATCGTTTTGGTTATAAAATGAAATCATCGTAACCTTTAAATAGAAGATTCTTCGTCATATCTGTTGATTTCATGAGTATTGTTTATTTTTTTTAAAAAAAAAAATGAAATGAATGAGAAATAATAACAGTTGGGTACTTTAATTTGACAATGCCCCACTTGAACTTTTTCCTTATTTATTTTAGTTCGTAGAACCAAAATATTTTCATATTATAAATTATTATTATCATATTATAATATCGATATATATTTTTATTATTATTTTTTTTTTTTATTATTCCAATGATACTATATAATTTATATAAATTTATATGTAGTTATATAAAATTTTATGATATCAAGCCACATGAGGATTTATTTATAATTGGTTTAGTGTGAGGATCGGCTGTTTCACTGTTATTCTATTTACATTCTATTTATAATATGATATAATGTAACATAGTATGAATGATTTTATGTTGTATTACATTACGTATCATATCCTTTTGATATATTGTATAAATATTGTGTTATTGTATAAATATGCACTGTTTTACATCCGGAAATAAAAAAAAAAATTTCAAAAAAAAAAATAAAAAATAAAAATAATCAAAATTTTCAAAATCGTATTCAAAAAAGAATATCATTTTCTCAAGAGACATTCTACATCATTTAAAAAATTTTTCAAAAGTATGTCTACAGCAACACATCACTGTCTTGGTAAAAAGTCATCGATTCCTTACATTCACTCAAATCACAAGTCCACGACATCATTATACCAACAACCAACGGAATCGATGATTGAGGCCGCAAAGATTGATTACGCTACCCGTCTTTTCATCTACACTCGACAACAACTTCAACAAGTATCCTCCTTACCTTTTAAAGGTCAAGAAAATAAAAGTAAAAAGTTTACGCGAAATGGGGTGAAGGAATATAATGAAATTCGTGGTAGGAAGCGAAACGAAATTGGTGACTAACCTGTATTGAATAAGACTGGCATCGATAAATACAAGTGAATCATATGATAATAGAAATTCATGAATAACAACCACAACAAAAAAAAAAAATTATTAATTTTTTTTACGCTTAGTCCACCTTTTTTTTGAAGTATAGCTCAATTTTTTATCAAAATAATCTCTTTTTTTTTTTTCTTTTTTTTTTTTTGCTCGTTATCCTATCAGTAAAAACGTTTATTCACTTATCGATCTTATCAATAAGTTACCTTGTCATTCTAAAAAAAAGTTATGAGTTTTAATATGGTTGTATTGTTTATATACACACTAATCCACAGACTCTGTGTATAATAATTATGGGGATATATATTTGGTCAAGCATCTTTTTCTTTTTTTCCTTTGTACTTAATCGCTCCTTTATTAATAAAATGTTGTAGAACTAACTAACTAAAAATAAATATAACAAAAAAATAATAATAATAATCCTGCGTGATTTTTATTATTTTTTATTTATATAAATAATGTGCCTGTCCTAGAGGATACGAGCGAAACAATCGTGCAACGTGGCGCATTTCGTTTGTTGTAATTATTTGCTCATGTGATCCCCCTATTTTACTGTTCCCACGATCTAAAAGGGCGTAAAAAGTCACAAACAATGGAATTAACCAATTCATCATAAACGCCGAAAAATGTCATGAGGCTTTATATACAATGTCCTTTCAAAGATTGTTCTTGTAAATTTTAAAGGCTAAATTTAGAAGTTTGTCAATGGTTGGATCGCACAATTACACAACCGCGACCGCGCTACGCCCGGCTATTAGTGTTTGCTGTGCCACAAATGTCAATAAATGAGCGAAGCACCATTTTTTTTATCCACATGATTTTCGGTAAGGTGGCTTAAAATGTTCGCTGTCTTTTGATTACTTTTTTTGAAGGGGTGAGGGGAACTTTGGATGAATTCATGTTTATCGATCGATGATTTAAGAAATATTCAAGCCCCCCTCCCTCTGGGTTGTGAAATTCACTTTGAATAAACAAGGTTAAGCTCTTTTGAACCTGACAGTGATTGGTAGATGTGTTTTAACTTTGGTCCGCATTTGTTTAGCGCAAATCATGTAAGTGTAGATCTGAGATTACTTAAGTCAACACAAACATTATTATGCAATTACACAAAATAATGATCACTTTCCGGCACGTGTGGTGCGAATCTAGCATCTCTTTAAGCATCCCTCATGTCAATCGATCATTTTTTGTCTCTTACCCCTACGACTTTTCAGGTTTAACCCTCTTTCATTGTGTGGTCGTAAAAAGGGGAGGATTTCATCCGGTTGAAAATGAAATTATATAGTTCAAAAGTTGATTTTATCCTAATCGACTCCTCAGTGTTTAAATCCATTCTTTTCCGTATGAGGATGTCCAATATTTTCGCGTTTCGTTCGAAAAATCAAATACTTTATAAATGGTGAACCGATGAAAACGCAGGTTTGATGATGATTGGTTGGAATCGTTGATGGTAATTTAAAGGGGCACTAAAATGATCTTCATTCGCCCAACGATTTAAATTGTTCAAATAAGTAAAGTAGGGTATATTTCTTTAGGTTAGCGTTGGTGGATTTTGGTAGTTGCCAAAGATCTTTGATTCAAGTCACAGTGTTCGATACACCTAAAACCGAACTTGAAAAAAAAGGAATGTAGCACGTAAATCGTGTCATACCTTAAGTTATATGATTACGCAATTACACAAAACAAGGCGTCATTTATATTTAAAATGTTATGAATAAATTTCACGTGAGCACGAACCGGGATTTTGAAGGGCTCTGGGTCCCTTAAATGATAATAAGATGGATAATTTGATGATATCTTTGATAAAAGGTCATCCGTCAATGAAGCAATGGCGTAAAAAAATTAAAGAGATTTCCTATAATCATTAACTTAATATTTTTAAAGTAAGTGAGATGACATAAATGAACTATAATTACATTTAAAAAAAATAAATAATTACGCAATCATTGCGTATTCGAACCCTTTTTTAAGTCATTTATTTGTCAATAAAATAAATAAATATTCGGAATTCGTGTACCATATTAGACCAAAAATATCTTTTAGCTTTTTTTGTTTTTAGCAAGATGGGCACAGATCGAGAATTTGACGTTAGTTTGAACATTGGAAACCTAACGTTAGAAGATCAAACATGACCCCTTTCATTTCGACGTTGTTCAATATGCGCAAATAATACAAGCCATGGTTTCGGTAAGGGAGGTTATATTTGGTGGCACCAGCCACACGAGGATACTGCGGCACAAACATAAATTTTCCTGGCATCCTTATGTAACAGCAGAATATCTCGTCACATATTTCTAAGATCGCAATATCAATGTAACTTTATTAATTGCCAGATGCTCCATCACAAACAAAGCCTGTATTAAACGTCGATAGGATTTGATCCTATAAAGTCCACTTGCACAAATTACATTTAAAAATTACTTGCTATAACCATACTAGATTCACGTTCTGTGAGAAAAAAAAAGATGTCTTGCATAAAATTCCTTTTTTTTGATCATTAACGACGCCCGATCTTCAGAAGTGTAGATATTTTCGGTCCATTTATTATCATTACCCGAAGAATCTTCGATCTTGCGGAGAGGTAAGGCTTGATAAGCTGTCATATAATGAGAAGAATTTATAGAATTTGAGATATTCTTAATTAAATCATCGAGATTATTAAAAACGATTATTGATAAATTAATTTTGAATGGTTGATTAGGAATTCCTAATGCGTGTGTGTTTAATGTTTTCACACATGATGATTTTGATTGGTTGAAATATAACTAATATCATTATTTAATGTATTGTACTGTGTATTGATAAAGATATTATAGGCGAGGTTATTGGATAAAAAATATGCTGACGAAATTCGCGCGTTCAATTTACCTAACGAACGAAAAAAAAGATCAACACGCTTGTATACCATATTTAGCCTGTATCCATTACTTGGGATTGGTGACAAATTATTTTAAATTATTTCATAAAAATAAAAATAAATGAAAGTTATAAAAAAAAAAAATTGAAATTATACATTGAAAAATCTATTGGTCCTGTTCTTCGAAGTACGGGTGGGACAGGTTGGATTAGGTGGTATGATTTTCTTAGAATACAGCTTTTTATGATTTTCTGTTACTAAGCAGAGTTATTTTCCAAACGAGTGCTCAGACATTAAAAATTTGGATTTGGGAAAAGGAATTACACTCTTACGAGAATAGTAATGATATCTGAAATTTTACGTAAGGCTTGTCAAGCTTGCAATCATTATGAATTTATTTAAGGATTATTGCCAGAAAATTATTCTTTTAAAAATAATTTTAATAAAATTTCATTGTTGCCTTTCGAAAAGCAATCTAATTTATGCAAAATAATGGAAATGAATCCAAATTGAGTTATTCTTTTGTAATTATGATTTACATTTGTATACTTAAAAGTCGAAATGTAATTATTTTGTTATGTTCCCAAGGTATACTTGCAATGAAATATAAAATTACCTAAAGAATGGCAATCTGATATATTTACGATGACGTTAAAACAATTAAGATAATCATCGGATGGGTACTTTGTATCACATTTCACTTTTTTTAAAATTTTCACCGGTAATTTAATTATTAGACCATAGTTTAAACTACTGTAGTATATTCGGTAAATTATTATGCCATCTATTAAATATTTATATCAGTATATGGGGCCTTTGCAATAGAAAGGGAGGAAACTCAAAAAAAAATAAAAAATGAGTTAATAATAAATCTGAACAAATTATAGTATTTGAAACATTTTTGGTTTATAAACTAAAATTTTAATTTTTTTGAAGTTTCCTCCCTTTCTATTGTAAAGGCCCCATATAATTAAATCACGCGATGACCATTTAATAGCACTAAAGTAGGGATTTATATAATATCCTTGACTCCAGTATTAGGTTAATATCCTAGACCCCATTGTATAAGTAAATTTTTTAAAGTACTTATCATGTGATATGTACATTTGCTGTCTAGGATAAGAGCTTGAACCCAGGGTACATTTTAAGGACGACTCAGAATGTTCACGTGATTTATTGTACATATGGGACCTTTGCAATAAAAAGGGGGAAAACTTTCGGAAAAAATCAATTTTACTTTATTAAAATTATTAAAAAATTTTTAATTACTAAATATTATAAATTTATTATTTTATTTTATTAAATATACAGTCAGACCTCCATAATCGGTTCCCTAAAACTGGTGATTATTTAGAGGCGTGACTGTAAAAAGGTAACCTCTATACAATCACAATTATATTAAAAAATCATGTGCTGTGACTATATAAATACCATTATTAATGGAACAAAATATTAATTTTTAAAATACTTTAAAATGTAACAATAGTCAATTTTAATAAATGTAATAATATTTAATTTTAAAACACTTTATTAAATGTAATGTAAAATTATAACACTATATAAATGCTATGTAAATTACATATTAATCAGCCGCTAAAAAAACTTATAATTTAAGCTTACTTTCAAGATTACAACTCAAGTCTTTTAACTATTTTAAAATAATTGTTAAAGATTTTTATATCTTCTACAGAAAATTCATCTATTTGCTATTATTCAAAAAATGTAATCCATATTTGTAAGGTTTAAAAGTATCATTTAAAGATATTGGCATTTGTTTTTTTTTCAGAATCACTATTCTCTACCTTCATTATGCATTTCCTATTTAATAATATTTATAATATCACTTTCATTTAAGATATTTTTAGTAAAAATTTCCTCCAAGTCATTAAAGAAATTATTTAATATATCTATTAGTAAAGCTATTTAAGGGTCATCTATATCAAGTTTTTCTTCGATTATTCATTAAATTCTACTACCATTCTTAATTTTCTTTATTTATTAATTTTTTATTTAATTTCTTATATTATTATATTTTTCTAGAAGCATAAAGATTAATGTTATTATTTTCATTAATAAATTGACCAGTAAAATATTAAATTTAAATTTAAATTCTTCTATTTCTTATTCTCTCTTTTTATCAATATTATTGATTTCTTCTAATAGTAATTTATT